ATATATATATATATATATATCACGCTTGTGTGAGAACGGACTGTGCCAAGCAAATTATGGTACAATAATCTTCATAAAAAAAGAAAAACGTTCAATGATTGGCTTGTGGCCTGAATACTGCCAGGTTGCCCAGGCCAAGACAGTGTGATGAGCGAAATTCTGAGTAAAACAGTTTTTGGCTAGAAAGTAAAAGCAAGGCACACTTCGGAACGCGTTTGGTGGTGAAATGAGACACACCGTGCAGAAAAGTTAAACACACAACTGGAATGTGATCCGTGCATGCAGGTAAGATGAGTCACTACTAGAACTTCAAAACACCCACATATTTCGAAATTGTCTTAATCCACCCAAGTATCAATCAACGGAGCGTCGTAACGGTTTCTGCGTTAATGGAAATGGACTGGCATTCGAATGCAACTAGTTATATGGTAAATATCGACGAACAACACCATGGATCGACAAAAACTAATCAGATAACAGTGATATTCCGTTAACCACCAATGTGCAATCGGGTTCAACCATTTGAGGCTTAGCAAGATGGAGAAGACGACACAGAGAGACAGAATAGCGTGACTACGGTGTCAAACAACACCACGTGTAAGTTGAACTCCCACCCACCCACACACACAGTAAACAAACAAGAAATGAAAAGCACAAGTAGTGGATTGCAAAGTTGGAAATTTTCGATGAAGTTCGGTTTGCTGCGTCGTGCCTTGAACGAAAAATTAAAGCAAACGAAAATGATTCGTTTAGGGCAGTAGAAACTGATCTGGGATCAGTAGCGGTGCAACGCTGACATCGCTAGGTGGTGGTGGTAGTGCAATGGTTTAGTCACTATCACCGGCAAGCTTTGGATCCAATGGGCCGAGGTTCTAGCCCCGCCACCGCCACCCGACTTTGGTGTTGGATAGCTTTGCTGTTGTCTGGTTCAATACCATGCTTAACCTATCGGGGTCTAATGTAGTTCGCCACTCCAAGTCCCCGGGCTTACAGGTTAAGGGTTTCCATCAATGAACAGCAAGTCCTCGTGACTATGGGCTTCACCCGTCTACTGTTCATCACATTTAGGTGTGTAATAATGAACAACGTAACTGGGCATCAACACCAGAGCCGCAGTCCTGAAGTGTCCCTTAACTGGGCAGCATTGATTTGCTTGTGAATTCAATCTCTAGATTCTCTCTTCAAGTCAATTTTTTGGTATGGGCATTACTTATAACCAGAAGCTTTTCTTGCCCCATAGTGATTACATGAATTGAACTGTAACTGTAATGAATAAAATTCTTATGTTGTATTCGGTGTTCTATGTGCTTATGGATATTGGAATGTAATGCCTTAAAGTACTCATCCAGTTTTACCTAGAAAGAATCAATCATCTCGGCACAAACGACATGAGATAATGAGGAATTCCAGGTGGTACACACTCTGACGACGAAGGAATGGCATCGACAGTTCAATCGAAATTTTTGAAGTAGTAACTTGAATGGATGTCCCCGTAGATGAACGTTTGATGAGAACATCAAAAGTGGGCGACAAGCGAGGTTTGGGTTTTAGTAATATTTCGTACAACAAAATCAATTTTCCTCGAATTCGACGATACTGAGCAGAGTATAGACCCATGTATGAATAATAATAGAGCCCTGTGACTTTCTTTGTGGCGAGCATTCGTGGACGCTCCAAAATCTTACGATCACGTTGTAACCATGGATTCCAAGTTTCGATGGCATACTCAATATGTGGCCGGATGTATGTTGACAGCAGACGTGAGAACAAAGATGGTTCAAAACGACAAAAAACACGTTTGGTTGTTTTGAACCATCTTTGTTACCACGTCTGCTGTGAGCTCAGATTCGGCTACATCTTGACACCTTCCAATCAATCACAGAGCTTCATTCTTTCTGACTGTCTACTCCTTCATCCGAACGAGCAAACAAAGTCAACGCAAGAGAATTTAATGTCAATGGTTAGATAACCTGAAGTGATGGAACCCTAAATCACAAACTTTCTATGTATTTTATACCGCCATGATTTCGATTGCTAAAAGATAATGAGCAAAATTCTGACTTCTTGTCCTTGGTATGACAGGTGCTTGACTCGCGATCCCCGATATCCTTGGTGTGTGCAAAATTTCCAAAAAGGAAAATCTAGCTGAATTCAGGTTCCCTACTTCGTTAACTGCTGAAATGCCGCTCGATATTAAGATTCAACAAATCAGCTTTTCACCTGTACTTCAATGGAACAGTGTAGTACTGAAGTCCAGTTAATTCAACCATTGCTGATCCACAGCCAACCGTATACAGCGATTGAAATCGGGAATCACATGACAACACAGGTAGGCAAAATCCCGTTAGGACATTCTAAGGGGCATATAGACCAGACGTTCTGGGTAAACGTGATTCGGGAGAAAAACGTTTGCTTACTTCACACGCCAATTTGCGAAGTTTCACACGAATAGACAGCAGTAGATAGGCCGTTTGCGAGGGATTGTTCGATGAATGCCCGTCGACCAGGGAGGCTAACGGTTCCCATGTAGCTGAAAATAGTGAGCGGGGAATGACAAAGTGGCAGTGAGAATCTGAGGCAAAAAAGCAAACAGACCAACTGGTACCTCAGCAAAATCGTCTAGCACAATTAGGTTCATGAAGTTGAAAGGTCGTGTACATTGTGCTAGCGTTCGTTCAGTTCCGCTTTATGGTTGTGAGACCTTGAATTCACGAGAAGTTTCCGATTATCGGTGTTTAGGTGGTTGAACCCATGTGGGATGAAGCGAACGGGTTAGTAATGTAGAGGTAAGTCGTCGTGTGTTTGGGAGTTTATCAGGGACAAACCTGCTAGCGCATGGAATTAAGATTAATAGGCTTAACTGGCTAGGGCACGTATTGTGTATGCCCAGTCATCGTCTACGGCACCGAGCTTCATTCGCTGTAGCTAATCTGGGTTGGAGAAAACCACGTGGAGGTCAACAGATGACGTGGAGACGAGTCATGAAGAAATGCAGAGAGCCTTTAGTTTCAGTTTTTACAGCCATTAACCATGCACTTTCGTGCGCCGGTTTTGGTTGCCCATTTGGATAAAAGAGCGAAAAGAAGATTGGAATGTCGAAGAAATTCAAGCGGAAGATGGGGAATTCATATAGTGGTGTTAGGAGAATAACGAGTGGATGCACGAGCGCCACTGTTTGCGACACCCAGCCATATCACTCAGTGTAGCTAACCATCGGTGACCATCATCCCGAGGTCCCCAGCCAGGGAGCCTAACGGGGCCTATGTGACCTAGTTTCTTGGTTAGGGTTTTCATACCCGCGTGCCAGGTCTTAGTCTGACCACCCTTTATCTTTTTCCAATCGCTATCAGCCTTGGCACACATCGTTCGTCGCGGCTTAGTGATTGACCTTATTAGTTGAACGCTGAGTGATACGCCATGGGTCCCGTAAGCAGGAGGCACCTGAGAATATTCGGGATTGAGAAGAAGGACTAGACAGATGGGAAAGATGGTTTTCCAAATGGGTACCCAAGACTTTAAGGCATGACATACTTCGCGGCAGCCCACATCGACAAAGGGGTTTTTCTTTGGGAACTCTAACCGGAGCCTTCGACTCAAAAGTCTGACCCACAAGGGAGTGGAGCCGTTAGGTAGAGTAGGTGTCTCTCGCCTCCCAGGTTGGGGTCTGAAAGACACCACAACCGGTTGGTTGGAGACATTGAAGGATGACAGCGAACCGACAGCAGTGGCCTTCTTGTTATCGTTTCTTATCAGGTCAGAATGCTTGAAACGATATGTATGCTGAATTTGATTGTGCACTCTGTGCTGACCATGGCGGTTCACCTTCTTCTCCCTCCCTCGAAATAGGTCCAGTCCCTGTCCACTTTAAATTTTAGCACTAACCTTGTATGCATTGCGAGTTTGGTCGTGATCAACGAAGTTCGCCTCACTGTATCCCGCTGTACGATGATGAGGAGGAGGAGGAGGTTCATGAAAGATACCAACTATGAATAGAGGAGGTAAACCACAGAGACAAGTTGCAGGTGGGTGAAGATTAGACGGTTACCTGGAAAACTCGGAAATGCAAACAATCTAAAAACAATACTTCGAGGTACCCACACAGGCATTACGTTATTATCAATGAAAAGAATCACATGGGAGGACGAGGGAATTCAAACGTACCAGCAGTAAAGGTAAAAAGCACGATGAAAATATTTCAGCGGTCGGTGATTGTACAAAACTGTGTTTGAAACATACAGCTGAGTGCGAATTAATTTGGTTCTAATTGAATTCTAACCACAAATTCATATAGATCAAAGAACAAAAACCAACGAATTCATTCGAGCTTCACACCAGCAAAGGTTGCGGGACAACCAACCGAGGGAAAAATGTGTGGCTCTCCAAAACAATGATGAATGTTCAATACCACTCAAGTATTGGGTAGGGCACTACTATTGCAGCTAGGGTTGGAGTGGGGGTGGTAGAAAATTAGTTTTGTTAAAATTACAGACAGACAGACAGACAGGCGGAATTTCGATGAATGAGGCGGAGGGGGGGTAAGGATTACCGGAAATGAAAAGCCCGACGGGAAGGCGGCGGAGAAACTGTTTGACCAATCCACACAGGGCATTTGGTTCACGCCAGGCGTCCAACTTGAGCAAAAGGTCAACGTTTTCCGGAACCTGAAATAGTTGTTAAATTGATGTGACTGAATTGTGTACGCGTTGTTCAACAATGAACAGATGGAATATCCCGAGGACGAATGAACATGAGTGAAGTAATAGAACGAGGAACAAAGCCACGACCACGAATCGTTTAGACAGTACTTGAATGCACTTCTAGATTTACAGTATCTCATTTATGGAGTGATTATAGCATAAACCAAGTAGACGGTTGGATGAAAAACAACGTGATGTGGTTTATGAGAAAATACCATGAAGGAAAACGAAAATCACTCAATTGACGAAGTATGATCTGAAGACCAGATGGAATGTGTTAGTCCTTCGAAACAAAGTGTGGTCACGTGAGGACGAATCAGAGGAACATTATTCACAATGTAACAGGCAGATAAGAACCAAGGACTGAACAGATGGCGTTGTATCCTGAAGGGAGGTGAACAGACCATTTGGTGCGCATGGAAAGTTTGCAGATAGCGAAAAGCAGCGCGTGCGTACACACGCGCGAGTCGTTACTTCGCAGTTGAGTTTCGTGACAGAAAAAACAACTAATGAAAGACAGTGTGGTACTAAAGCCATGACTAATGTGTGCAAAATCGTGTATGTTTGGTCATCAATTTCATTGATCACCAGTTTGAAGGTCATACAGACAGAGGTGCAGGAAACCTGTGAAAATAACAGTGAGACAAAACGGAGTTGATTGGATGCATAAATGTGTACCAAAGGTGGGTTGATTCAAACGATCTTTCAACCTTAGGTAACAACTTACGGGAGGTAAAACAAGACAAATGATTCTTCAATAAGCACCACTAATTCTCAGTAAATTGAATAGTAGATATCTTTCAATTACATACCCGTTTCTGATGAAGAATAGTCGCGAGAATTGATTGATCAATCATGATGATAGAGAATCTGAGCCCTGGGACTTTGAGTGGCGAGCGGTATAGGGCCCGTGGGATAAACATTGTGTTGAGTATGGCGAAAGAAAGATTATCAATCACTAAAGTTAGGTGGCGATGCCGGGGTGTGAACCTCGAACCTTAGGAACTCATTGATCACCAACACAGTATATAGGGCAAAGGCCAAACTAACGCAAAAATGACAACAGAGATCTCTAACGCATTATGGGACTTCATCACGTTTCCAGTACTACACTGACCTACCGATTCTCGTGACAAAAGTGTTCTGTCTTTAGTCTAGCCTACGCTTTTGATGGTGCTAGACAGTTTAAGTTTTTACAATCATTGACCACGCACTTCTGTGCGCTGGTTTTGGTTGCTGTCTTTTGGTTCCCCATTTGGATAAAAGAGCAGAATGATGATTGGAATGTTGAAAGTAAATTCAAGTGGAAGATGGAGAATTCATATAGAATGGTGTTAGAGGAATAATGAGTGGATGCACGAGCGCCACTGTTTGCGACATCCAGTCATATCATTCAGTGTAGCTAACCATCGGTGATAATTATCCCGAGGTCCCGATCCAGAGGGTCTAACGGTGAGGACTTTCATGCGCTCATGCCAGGTCTTAGTTTGACCACCCGTTATCTTTTTTCAACCGCTACCAGCCTTGATAAACATCGCTCGCCGTGGCAACCTATCTGGTGACGTGCGTGAAACGTCCCAACGAACGTAATCTATGGTCGACCACTTGCTCCAGTGGACGACCGCAACTGCCTAAAACTTTACGCCTAACCTCAGCATTGCTAGTCCGGTTACCTTACTAGACGCATGCAATGCGACGTACACAGCAATGTCCATACACCGACAATCTATTTTTATCCTGTTCCCGTAATAGCCAAGTCTCTGCACCGTAAAGCAGAACTGGCCGAACTGCTGCAGTATATACTCGACGCTTCACAGACAGCTGGATGTCGCGTCGGGCCACAAATGTCTCAAGTTGGCAAATGTCAACCGAACCTTTTGTATACGCGCCGACACTTTATCTGCGATGCGTCCGCCAGGTGAGATATAGCTGCCCAGATAACAAAACTTGCCCTAGACAGGTTAGATCGTCATCCTCGAAAGTAAATTCAAGACAAATCACCGAAATTTGACTTCCGACTGCGAGTAACTCGATATTTATTGGTGCTACTGACAAACTAGAAACTTCAAGAAAAGTGTCCCTGTGTTATTTAACATTATTAGTTCACGAAGAAATTTATTCTTTTTTATTGCTCAGAAAATGAACGGTCAATGCCAGTCATAATGCCGGTTTTTCGGAAGTTGAGTGAAAGAGCTGATAACATGTACGCTCAAGGATGGGACAAAGTAACCTGGACCGGAATTCTCGAGCATCCACATGACGTTTTGAAAGAATTTTAAAGGTCACATGTCCCAAGACTTGGATAGCAAATCTCCAATCGATGTTGCCATATCTAGGCATGGGTGGAGTGGAGTGATTCAAGAAAATCATCGACTGTTAAAGAGTGTCGGGTGGAAGAGTAGTTCTGCAGGAAATTTCAATAAGTAGGCTTCATAAGTTAATACATGTGCTGCACATGATGGAAGAAGGTACATGGATATAAACGGTTGGTGTGATGACGGGGTACAAAGAATTATGCGGAGGGTCGGTCCCTCGTCTGTTGCAATGGGATCTGAAAGATCCTGCAACCGAGGAATAAGCGCAGCCGTTTTGTTGTTTTTTTTGGAGGGGGGAGGGAGTAGGTGTTTTACAGTCGATAGTTCTTAGAACAAATCTAAGGAGTAGTTGTCTTCACGTCAGTTCGTCGTGTCTAACACCAACCTCGTTTACACTGTCCGTCAGGTGCCTGTGAAGATGCTATACACAGCTTCCTGGAACTCAGGATGGGAATGGAAATAGAACCTAATACGGTGGAATATGACCCTAGCGATACGATAGCCTACCAGTTTCGAAGTGCCAATCTATCACTAGCACTATCTATGCCCATATTCCAGTAAAAACATGTTGTTTGACAAACTAAGGGAAAAAATGCTGGAAAATGATCAATCAAAACAGGTGAACGAAGGGCACTGTTCATTCTGGCAGGATAGTAGTCGGATAAGGTAATGTTGGAACGGTGTAAGGAATTTCCCATCACAATATAGACCTTGTGCGGATAATATCGCTGAGGGGTTGTTGAACAACTTAGTGTTCTGTGCGTAAGGACGTCGGAGGCGAAGTTCAAGCCTACGGATGCGTGCTGTTAAGTTGTCTCCCCCAAGGGGTATAGATTCGCACTACAACAAGAGCGATCTTCGATTAAGTTGCACGAAAACCTTTGATTGAGGTGCGACAAACTCGCGAACGAGCTTAAAATGGAAATAATGCTCGATCATTATCTGAGACCGTATTTTCAGCTGAAGTCTGGACCGAGAATTTCGTTGGACGAATAAACCCATTCACCCCTGACGCAATTTCATTCATAGAGAAAAACGATTATTCGGAACTGTCAGAGGACAACGGTTGTCTATCTAACCCCTCATGTAGCGATCAGTCTCCGTTTGTACAATGCAAACGGATGATGGTCGAGATAAGATACACGGAGAGTGACAGTGGCATGCCAAACGAAACAGGTCCGGGGTCGAACACATTCACAAACACACGTATCCGTGACTGTTGATTGGATGGGTAGAATGACTTTAAGAACGAATGCGACCCGAATTGGGTACAGCCACAATGGCACACACACGCACATACACAGACGGACGCACGCACACAAATGAAAATTCACACTTGAGTGGAGATGGTGTCACATCACAAAGACCGAGAACGAGAGTCGTTAGAACAAGCTATACAGAGGAGCGGGTGTATTCAATCGACTCTGTGCGTGCATGAGTGACGAATGATGGCTCATTGATAATCCTGATGCGTGAACTGTTCACAGGACGTGGGTTATGGGGCTTCAGTTTATTTACAGAATTGGTGCATGTCACCGAAATATGTTTGCAACACCCATGGCGATGCACATACATACATACATACATACATACATACATACACACACACACACCACAGATGTGAGCAAATAAACCCGAACAACCCACCGCGTGCATCACAATGGAAGAAACCGGTTGTAGATAATTGGGATGTGTATAATCCCATAAAAATCAAGATCTATTGTTCGGCTATGAGTACCAGTGACTTGAGTCGTGAGCACCAGAGTAGCGAACCATATAATATTCCGATAGGATGACTGTGAGGTATTGTGTCAGATGATAGAAAAGTTCACTACCGCCTAAGGTTATAGGAACCGGTGATTTTTCATTAAATTGTGGGTAGTAGCAAGGGTAAATTGGATTATCATGGAGATTTATAGTGGGATTATGAGGAAGACCAAAGTGAGGAGATAAGGGGAAAATCAGTTCTACACGACGGCGAAATTAGGAGCACAGTAGTGGAACAGGTGAAAGCGTCAGTCTCTAATTAAAAACGAGAGTAAACAAATCCAATGTGTACATACTGGTTTGTGTCTGTTCGAAGCTTTAGTTAATGATTCTGTCTTAGTAAATTGTTGTTGTTGTGCATACAAACCCACTTGTAGATAGATGTGTTTCAGTTAACCGGTGATCAGAACTTGAAGGTAAGTTCATTGAATGCATGATGTGGGCACAGCTAACTGCTATGCTGATTGACTACATTGCCGGTTAAAGCATTTTTAGTCGTATGGCTTCGGGTTCGAACCACTTCTATCGCTGTTACCGTTTGTCTTATCAATCTAACCAACCTCGCGATAGAATTGTGACATAGGTGAAAACAAAAGACAACTAGTGGCCACCGCGCGGAAGAAGCATGCTAAAGGTACATGGTGCAACAGAGATCGAAGAGAAAACGAGCAACTGGTTTCACAGGTCCCTCAGATGATCAAATCAAACACGGAAGTCCCGACAAAGAGATGTGAGAACACAAAATCAGTAACTCACCAGATTAGCGACACAGACAAATTGTGCAATAGTACGATGTCGACCTGGTTTGCGATAAAGACCGGCCAATTGTAGACCGTGTGTTTCCAATCCGAGTACAAGAGCATGCAGAATAACCGGAACGCACTACGAGTTAAAAAAGCGGGAAAAAAATCACGTCAAACGTTGATAGAATTTGATTTGGAATAACACGTGCTTGTGTTAGACTTCCAAAACATGCTATAGATAAATGAAGCAGATAAATCCCCATTTGATTGAAGAAAACGAGGGAATTATTCGAGATGACTATCAGAATCCGAGTAGGGTGGTGGACGCTCTCACACAAGATAGTGATAAAAATGAACAATGAACCTATATTGCATCTACGAGGACTTTTCTCAGGTTCCACAAAGACCAATCCGGGATACGATCTTCATCTTCATAGTACAGCGAAATAGGGTGAAGCGAACTTTACTGATCGCTGCCAAATTCGGTTAGTGGTAATACGTAAGGTGGATGGAAAAGAGAAATGAAAAGTTCAGTGGATTACTGTTCCAAGGGAATTCAGAAGATGCACGAACGCCACTGCATACGAACGACCTCCAGCCATATCACCGTGTGTCTAACCATCGATGGCGATCGTCCGGAGGTCCCCATCTCCAAGGAGCCTGACAGAGTGTACAATCGAACTGTGCATACATACCGGTTCAATCACTCTGAACCAATAAGAAACAACACCAAGAACCCCTTTGGTGTCGGTTCGCTGCCTAATTTTCAGTGCCTCTAGCCAACCGGTTGTGGAGCCTTTCGCACCCCAATCGGGAAGAGAAGAGACACCTACTCTACCTAATGGCTCTGTATATTTCTCCCTGCCCCGCCTCCACGTGATTTCCTCCAGCCCAGAGCGGCTACAGCAAATAAGGCACTATCTGGTAGACGGGAGCTGGGCATACGCAATAAGCGCCCTCTCCAGGCTGTACTTCGCTAGCCCTTCACTAGTGCGTTTCTTATGGGATGTCCGTCAAGGCTGGTGCTTCGGAAGAGTTGGCCAGATGGACAATGTTTCATCTCAGCATATGGTGTTGTCTACAACTTTCTTCCACCCTGAATTGTTTGTGCCCTTGCGATTGATATGTTCCATCTAGAGCTCGATGTAGCACCAGAACTCCATTTTTCCAACACCTATGAATGGGCAGTGATATTACGGAGTTTATTTATGTAACCATACGAATATATCAGATAGAAAGGTAAATCGAAGTGCTGCATACATTTTTCCAGATGAGCGAATTTTGCCTGGGACTGTAGCAATTTTGGGTATGCCCGAAGGCGTGAGTTCATAGTAGTTGGGGATTCGATTCCGTCGTCACAAGATGAACTTTGACACACACACATACGCAGAACAAAAGAAAGATGAACCAAACAGTTGGGAAGTACTGTACAGCTGCTCCCGCCTTGTCGAATCCCAATCAGTGACGCGCACCAAGCGATCCGATCAAGGATCGAACCTGTTAGAGACGAGACAGCATTAGTAACCTTCGCGAGCATCCGACCTTGTTCGTCCTTAATAAGATTCTCAGTTGGGTTTATGGGTTCGCACTACCAGTTAGGTTGAAACAGCTGTGCAGTGCCCCCCAGCTTCGAGTTCACATTTCATTTATTTTGTATCCGTCGAAATTCGTTATAGTCACTTAATTATCAATAATAATATAAGAGATCAAAACACCTCGTTAAGTACCTAAAAACATGGAATGGATAATGTTACTAGACAAGCACCAGTTCCCATGTTTAGGTCGTTCACAAAAATCGAATTTCACCTATCGAACGACAAATAATGTTCTCCAATGAAAAATGGGTCCCTAGGGGCTACGCATGGCAAGAGGGAGAGGATGTATACGCATTACTAGGGTCACGGTAACCCCGCAGCGCGAACACTGAACACTCACCACGTGATCCGGACTGGGGATTTGCTTTTCAAGTGCTGCACCGAAAATAGCGCCGGGAGATTCAAAATCAGATAAATCCGCCGGTTCAGCTGGGAAACCAAAAAAACGAAATACAGTGAAAAAAATCCTTTGAAAAGAACAAAATCCTCGGATCAGAACCAATACGATTACGAAACTGTAGGATAGCTGTACACGAAGATTTGATCAAAGGAAAAGATTGAACAGGTACTGATGCAACCCAAGACAACTTACCAAGGATAGCCGACAATTTGGCTCCCATACTCATGGTATTTGGAGTGGAAGACCCCGACTGTTCCGACACGCTTGAACTTGATGCATAAGGAAACGCTGGTCGGTTGAGCCATTGTTTGAATCCCCGCAAAAATGGGGTTGCGTTTCGAGATTTGGAGGATCGTTGGCTAGATCTATCCTCGGACGGAGTAGCACCGTCCGTGTGTGATACGGTTGATGTCGAATTCAGGACGGAGTGAGGATCTATTTACCCAGATGAGGTTCGTTGTACATATGGAGAAAGTGAGGACAACAAAGACAAAAAGGTCCAGAAAAACCAAGTATGAGTTACAATATTGTGCAATCATATATATATATATATATATATAATTACATAATACTTATTGTAAAATGATCTGTCACGTTTGTGGCGATTAGAAGCATGCAGCCAACTCACTTACAGAATATCAGATCACAGTACTGATCTATAGATAGACTGCATCCGAAAGAAATCTCCAAACAATTTTACCTGTGTTCCAAGTAAGACATCTGTGTGTAATATGCACGTCCCGGATACAAGTAGAACGGCAATTTTGCTGAGTCATTCAAATACTTATTATTATTATTATTATTATTATTATTATTATTATTATTATTATTATTATTATTATATATATCCTCCCTGCTGATCAACAAACACATGGTTCACGATGCTACCTTGAGGATTTCTGAAAAGTCAGTCAAATTCAACCGTTTGGATGATCTTATGAATAAATAGCGAGATTTTAATCGAGGCGTTAATGCGTGGTGTTCTCGTTGCTATCGGGAGGGGGACACGACACTGATTCTATATATAGCCGCGAAGTATCGATTTCCTTACGTAGGAATTGTTGTATCGCTACAAGCGATCATGAAAACAGATACAAATCGATTTTAAGTGAGGAGCGCGCAAAACATACCAGTCGAACTGGTGGACAACATTGGGAGAAGAGGATGGTCTTCCAGTGGAAGTGCAGCGGTCGAGACTGGATTGCTCAAGGTACAAGTAACTGAATCTTCGGAAAAGACGGATTGTTTATCCAATCGTCGTTGGCGCCGATCAGTTAATTTACACTGAGTATTCGAACTGGGAAGCGGTTGAACTGGAACAAGCGTGGCGACTGGACGCGAGATTTCCGGTCTAATGGAGTGCCCGGTTGATTCGCGTCTGTCCGCGTAGCCCGAAGTTGTCGTTCTGACACTTTCGGAAAGCGATGAACCGAGACGCGATTGGGGTCGGCCGAGAAACAGCAAATCGTACGGTTTTCGGTTAATCCATTCCGAATCTGTGGGAACAGATGAAGAGCATTTAGAACAGGACGGAACACACACAACTCGGACAAATCATTGCGATCGACTTGCCTGATGACATTCTGGAATCCAACGATGACGCTTCACGGCCACCATTCATCTGGAACAAATAGTTTGGTGGAAAAAATGAATGCATAAAAGGAACTGAATCGTGATAATGGTGCAACACATGAAACAACCCCGTATCCCGCCCCGGAATGGAAACGTTTTTCAAAATAAAAGCATGAACACTCTACCGAATCTGAGCAAATAACTCTCAGGGACGCTATTCAGATTCATAAGTGTAATTTCTTTCCTCATTCTCCACTGAGATCGTCGTGCAACGGGAGTGTATCCAAAATTTATATCATCAACTTACATTCTCCCTCGAAATTACTGCTCCATTAGTGGTTTGATTATCGTTACACATCAATGCCAGGAACAGTACAATAAAACGGACCCGGGAGAGCAGCGACAGACGGTAGTCAAACGATTAAGGCCGGAGGACGTGTGTTCGAATCCCATCAGTACCATTGCCTGAATTTCCGCATTTGCTGTGTGATGTATAGACTCCTCCTAGAAAATGATATCATTGTCTACTCAAGACTTCCGCTCTTATTGTTATAAATCTGATTATGGAGACAGCTCTATCCTCGCGCGAGGATAGTGGCATGGATTTACTCTCAGGTGGCAGGCTATCTGAATTAGAGTATGCAGACGACATTGTGCTGCTAAGTGAATAGCCAGGTAAGTTGCAAGCTTTTCTGGACAGCTTCAATGCCAGTGTAGCCAAGTTCGCTAGGCATTTTGTATCTTCAAAGTGTAGAACGTTACTTCAAGACTGGGATGGTCCAGCACACAGCCTCACTCTAACTGGGGAACTAATAGAGCAGGTGTATAAGTTTTGTTATTTGAGCAGCTACATCTCACTTGACGGGCGAATCATGCATGAAATGACAGACCGTATACAGAAGCCTCGGTTGGCTAACTTGCTAACTTGAGACATTTGTGTTGAATTTAGCTATTTCTTAATAATCTCATCAGCTTGATCCGCCAGAAAGGTAGGTATCCACTACGGCTCGTTGAAGCAGCTGCCATTCGACGTTACAAGTCCGATTTATGTAAACAAATCGAATGCGTAGCTAGCCTCGCGGTAGGGTAGGTGCCACTGTTTTCCTCCTCCTCCCACCCTGCGGTGATTCCGTTCCCAGCCCCTATGCCCAATCCGGTTCGGATTGGTGACCTTTGGCCTTCGTATTGAATGATTTCTCTCTGTCGTGTGTTCGCCAGTCCCCAAACGTGACCTGACTGTATGTACGCAGCATGTAAACGAAAGTGTTGAATTTAACACAGTCTAAGATCATAATGCTTCTTCTTGCTATCACTATTGATTATTTGGCCTAAATCGATTGGTAATTTTAATCATGGATCAACCCATCCTTCACTTTCTTTCGGTCTATCGGATCCCTCAAACATCCACCAGAGGAAATGCTGTTCTGGACAAGGTCATTACTAATCGCCCCAATATTTTCTCTCACGAACTGAGAGCACCGATCTCGTCTAGTGACCACTTTTTATTCAAACAAAACAATGGAACATGAAAATTCGGAATCTTTCATTCGACAGACTCCATCTCTTGCGGAAATCTTATGCTATCATATCTTTTAGGTTTTCTGTTCAACAGACTCCCTGTTCTGTTCTTTTACAGAAACAGCTAGTGTGGCTTTCAATCTATGCTGTCTATGGAAACCGTTATTTTCACACTGGCAGAGTATGCTCTCCGCAGTTAAAAGCTCCTAGAAGACAAAAAAAACTAGCGTTCAAGATGCATCGAGCAGCTTACATTGGAAATCAGGACAGGGATCAAAAGACTGAA